AACGGGGACCCTCCGCCGACATTTCTGCTGTGCTGAAATCCCCGCTTGTTCGTTTCTTTAAAAAAGGAACCTGTTTCTCAAAGCTCCATTTGTCACCGAGGTCCTGGCCTGTCACTTTCCCCCTGGTGCCTGAGAAGATTGCTAAAGGTCGGTGGCAACAAGGCCCAAAATGGCATTTTTATACAGGGAGTCAAGAACAGGAATGGTTGAGAAGGTCAGCAATCCCCAAGGGGGATTTAAGAAGAAAGGCAGAAGGTTGGTGGGACTGCTTGCTTCAACAACAACAACAACAAAAGGAGTGTGCAGAATTGCTGGTATCTGGATGGGCTGGACAGAGAACAAGAGCGTTGGAAGGGACCTTGGAGGTCCTCTAGTCCAACCCCGTGCTCGAGCAAGAGAGTCGACCCCGTTCCAGACGAAGGGCTGTCCAGTCTCTTCTTGAAAGTCTCCAGTGGATAATATACGTGACAAGCCAGACGCCAGCTGAGCTGGCTGAGGATGATGGGAGTTATTTCCCCAGCCCGCATCTGGAGGGCACCAGATTGGGAAAGGCTGAGTTAAAAGCACACCTGGAAGATTTAGGCAAGAAGGAGAAAGTTTGACAGGCTGGGAAAACTGCTAAAGGGTGGAAAGGAAGGAAGGAAGAAGAAAAGGAAGAAAAGAAGGAAAGAAAGAAAGAGGAAGAAGGAAGAAAGAAAAAAGGAAGAATGAAAGAAAGAAGAAAGGAAGGAAAGAGAAAGAAAGAAAGGATAAAGGAAGGAAGAAAAAAAGGATGAAGGAAGGAAGGAAAGAAAGAAGGAAGGACAGAAAAGAGAAAGAAAAAGAAAGAAAAAGAAAGAAAGAAAGGAAGGAAGGAAGCAAGGAAGGAAGGAGAACAAAAGGGGTGGTTGGATGGGGAGGAGGAAGAGGCTGAGGAGGGGACGGTGGGAAGGAGCAGAAGACCATTCATCCCGGCTAACGACTTGTTCATTATGAGTGATGATGGATAAAGACTTCTCACGCTGAGATGAAATCAAGATTTATATGCATTGTTTCCTCTCTCAACTAGTGGGAAGATCATCATCATCTAATTCCATCTCCGCGGCCAGCGATGGGCATCCGGAGAGCCGGTTATCAAACGGCGCAGTCAGCTGGCAAAAGCCGCCAACGTGCGGGGCGGCACATCTGGACGGAGCTGCCAGCAGCCCAGGGTGAACGATGAAGCCTGGCCGGGAGCCAAATGCCTTGCAGACCTCAGCAGGTTTTCATCTCTGCCGCCCCATCCCGTCTCCTTCTTCTCCTCCTCCTCCTCCTCTTTTTTTTTTTTTTTTTTTTACAAAAAAGAGAATACTATTTTCATTGCTTCATTCAATTGCTCTCCGCTGCCATTTTTTATAGCTCTTATCGTTTTCTCCCTGAATGCGGCCTTGAGACAGCTCATCCGTGTCCTTTGCGGTGTTATCTCTTCTAACTTTTATTAAAACTTCAGCTTTCATCTGGAGATAGCTAATTAAATCGGTGACAGATTATAGGCTCGTTTGGAAAAAAAAAAGGGAGTGGGTGGGTGCTGCAACCACTGTTTTTTCCCCTTCCCCCCCCCCTTCCCTAAGCAGAAACCTGGGGTGGGAAATTTTTTCTTTCGGTGGAGTTAAAACTAAACGGACCGGTCGTGGGGAGGGAGAAAGGAAAGGCTTCATTCATTTAACCAAGACAAGATGTTTATCTCTAACCGAGTCTATAGATAGGTTTATATTAAAGTTCTTTGTGGCCTGTGACATGAGCCGGTGCCATTTCTCACCATAATTATTTCTCGGTGTCAAGACAGATTCTCTGGAATTCGGGAGGGGGGGAGCTTTAAGACTACCTGCAGCCCAAAGGGCTTTCTTGACAATGGAAAGCAAGGAGGCCTAAAGTTTATTTATTCGTTTTTAATTTCTTCTTTTCAAAACAAGGGACCCCTAGCCAGATGTGGCTACGAAGGACACAGGGAGAGAGGTGTTAAAACACAAAACAAAAACAAAACAAAAAAAACCCCGAGATTGCACAAAGGAGCTTTCTACAGGGAGTCCCTGACTTACCACCACAGCTGAGGCCTGTTGCTAAATGAGACAGTTCTTCAGTGAATTTTGCCCAGTTGTTTGAGGGGATCACTGCCGCTGTTCAGTTAGTAACCCAGTTGTTAAGTGAATCTTACTAAACTGTTGTAAGGCGAGGACTATCTGCATTCTGGAATGCCCTCCTCGCTTTGCTCAGTCTAAGAGTGTGCCTATCGCGGAGAAATTGATTCCTTGTTCTTTGGAAATCCTGACTTTCACAAAAAAGTTTTCAGACTGTTTTTGAGTCACAGTGACTCACCGTAAAAGGCCGCGATTTTTATAAGACAAAAATTCCGTTCCTAAAGGTAAGGAATTCACAGAAGGAGAAGCGATTCTCGAAAAGACCTTAAACTGGAGGAAATACTAAAATTGCAAGGCAGGTTTGCCAAACAGCTCAATTTTAAATTTTCCGATCCGAGGGAGAAGGTGAAATATTAAAATTGCCACGTATGTTTGCGAAACCGTTGAATCTCAAGATATCCGGTTCTGGGCGCAAAGATGAAACAGTAAAATTGCAACCCAAGTTTTTGCAAAACGGCTCGATCTCAAATAGCCGGCCGTTCTGAGCGCTAAGAGGAAACACTAAAATTGCAAAACCCGTTGGCGAAACAGCTCCATCTCAAATATCCAGTTTGGAGGGCTCTGAGCCCAAAGCAAAAGTCCAGACACAACTGTTTCCAAGTTGGAGCAAAAAAAATAAATAAACAAAAATTAACTTAAATTTAAAAAAAATCCCCCGTTGCTTTTTGACCTTGAACAAAATGTGGCCTTTTCAAGCATCCTCTTTCAAGCTGAAAGTCTGGCCGATTCAACTCTGGAAAGGGGATGCTTGCTGCAAAAAAATACCTAGGTGTCAAGCGATTTTGGGGAACTTTCAGAATAAAACATTCAAGCTGTTTCCATGTTTATTCCAAAGGAAGGAAGCCAACTGGAACGGTCTGATGGAACGTTTCAAAACCAGAAAAGTTCCCTTTTTCGTTTGTGTTTGTGTGTGTGTGTTTGTGCGCACGCTAGCCTAATTTGGAATTAAAGGTAGATTTTTTGACCTTGGTTTTCTTTCTGCAAGGGATGGGCGATGGGGAGGAGGCTTCCAGAAATGGGTAGAGCACTCAGAATTCCTCACTGCTCCCCACATTATTGAACGCTTATGCAGATAATTCATTGAGTGACTTTTCAAAGTTGCAAGGGGCCTGAAAAAAGTGACTTAGTTAGGACCATTTTTCAGGCTTACGACCGTCGCCACCAGTCGGTGGCCACGCAATCAAAATTCAGATGCTTGACAACTGACTCAGATTTGTGACGGTCGCAGCGTCCCAGTGTCATGTGATCCCCTTTTGTGACCTTTCGACAAACCAAGTCCAGGAGGAACCCAGATAATAATAATAATAACAACAACAACAACAACAAAACAACAATTGTAATAATATAAAATAAATAATAATAATAGTGATAATAATAAAATAATAATAGTAATAATAGTAATAATAAATAATAGAAATAATAGTAATAGTAATAATAGTAATAATAATAACAACAACATTAATTGTAATAATAATAGTAATAACAATGTTGGAAGGGACCTTGGAGGTCATCTAATCCAACCCCGTCAGGCAGGAAACCCTAGACCATTTCAGATTCGCTTAACCAACCGTGTCACTAACTTAACGACTAGAGATTCATTTAACAACGGTGGCAAACCAAGGGCGTAAAATGGGACCACTTAACTCATTTAACAACCGTCTTGCTTCGCAAGAGAAATTTTCGGCTCAGGTTAAGGACTGTTTTTCTGTGGCCTCTAGAGACTCGCTTGTTTTCCTGCCTCTGATTGATGGGATTGTTTAAGAAATATCCAAGAAAGGGCAAAAAACGTTCCCCCCCCCCAAGGCTTAAAAAAGTCGTCAATGGTTGAAGCGGGCTGGCTGTGAGTCTCTTGACATGCCCTTTGCACAAGGCAGAAAGTTAAAAACTCCGGCGGGCGTCTCCAGGCTCAAAGCAGGGAGGATAAAATGCAATGCAATCCTCCTCCACACCGGCCTTGGGGACTGCCCGCTATTAAGGTGTGACACGCTTCCAAACAGTTCCCCAGAGGTTGGGGGGCACGGGCCATTTGGGAAGACAATTGGGGTCCCAGGACAGAGCTGAGCGGAGATGTTTTGTCCATTTTCATTCGTTTGGTTTCTTTCTTTCTTTCTTTCTTTCTTTCTTTCTTTCTTTCTTTCTTTCTTTCTTTCTTTCCTTCCTTCCTTCCTTCTTTCTCTCTTTCCCTAGCTACTTATTGCTTCTTCCTTCTTCTCCAGCCTTTCTTTCTTTCTTTCTTTCTTTCTTTCTTTCTTTCTTTCTTTCTTTCTTTCTTTCTTTCTTTCCTTCTTTCTTTCTCTCTCTCTTTCCCTAGCTACTTATTGCTTCTTCCTTCTTCTCCAGCCTTTCTTTCTTTCTTTCTTTCTTTCTTTCTTTCTTTCTTTCTTTCTTTCTTTCCTTCTTTCTTTCTCTCTCTCTTTCCCTAGCTACTTATTGCTTCTTCCTTCTTCTCCAGCCTTCCTTCCTTCCTTTCTTTCTTTCTTTCTTTCTTTCTTTCTTTCTTTCTTTCTTTCTTTCTTTCTTTCTTTCTTTCTTTCTTTCTTTCCTTCTTCCTTCCTTCCTTCCTTCCTTCCTTCCTTCCTTCCTTGTAATTTTTTCAGGAGGGGGAATTTGTATTTTAACTTTCTGAATAAAAATAATTGTATTTCTTTTTTTTAAAAAAGGAAGACGGTGGGTCACAGCATAGTGCTGAGAAATATATATACGGGACTGCCTGTGTTTTACGCTCGGCCCTGTGCTGTGACCCATCGGCCCTCCTTTTTTAATATGTCATGGACGAGATCAGAGGCCCACACATAAAATCCAATCCCCCCCCCAAAAAAGCATAGTAAGAGGTCTGGTCCCCACCTGCGCCACGCTGCGACCCTTTCCTTCGCTTCAGAGCCTTTTGCAAAATATCCTTCATGGTGACCTTCAGGCTCTCCACCTGGATCAGGGAGAATCCGTGGGCGGCATTTCTGCAAAGGCACAGAAGAGGAGAGAGGTTGAGTGGGGCGGACTGGCTGCTCGGCCCACGCTGCCGCCAGGGGGCAGGCGGAGAGGCAGGTGGAATCCTGAGCCAGGCCTGGATAGAGGATTTGTTTATTTATTTGTTTAACAAACAAAATACAGAATACGGTAGAGTGGAACAGAACAGAAAATACAGAACAGGAGAGGAGAGGACAGGACAGGACAGAATAGAATACAATAGAAATAGAAACAGAAATGGAAAATGAAACGGAGAGAATGGAATGGAATGGAATAGAATAGAATAGAATAGAATAGAATTAAGAAATAGAATAGAATTAAGGAATAGAATAGAATAGAATAGAATAGAATAGATGATAGAGAATGGAATAGAATAGAATATAGAATAAATGATAGAGAATAGAATAGAATGGAATGGAATGGAATGGAATGGAATAGAATAGAATAGAATAGAATAGAATAGAATAGAATAGAATAGAATAGAATAGAATAGCAGGATTGGAAGGGATCTTGAAGGTCTTCTAGTCCAACCCCCTGCTCCTTATGACAAGCAAAGTCCGGGGGGGGGGACGGACCCCTCAGTTCGACCCCCAGCTACACGTATTCCCCTCTATTGCTTTGAAAGACATCTGTTTTTTTTTTTCCTGTGGAAAAGTTGGGAAGAAACATACTTTAATTTGTACTTGCGCTGGCCCAGAGCTTGCTGCTATAAACACGTTTGTCACCAAGGAAATAGCTGAGACCACATGCGGGTTTTAGGAAAGGGAGATAACTAATGATAATAATTTGTCATTTCTATCCTGTTCATCTACTGGGGTTTTTTTTTTTTTTAGATAAGCTTAGATTTAAAACCAAAACGTAATTGCAAAATGCAATCTAAGCAAGCCGGGAACAACTGTATAAAATAGATGAGGCAGATTAGCAGAGGTGCTCTTGAAACTTCTGAAAGTTACTTCTGGGTCAAGGCCTCGTACATCTCTGCCTAAACGTAGTTTTCTTCCCTCGTGGAACTTTTAAAACTGTGGCTTTGCAGAGTGAGACGGGCGTCATATCCTTGACATAAATATGAGTCAGTTAGGGTTTTTATATTTATATGGCTATATAAATTTCTTAAGCGAGCTTTGTCCCTGTCTTGCCACAGTTGTTAAATGAAACGCTGCAGTTGTTAAAATTAGTAACACGGTTGTTACTGGTTTGGCCACTGATGTTGTCACCTAGTTGGGTGATGAAATGTCTACAAGAACACCACCAAAGCTCAGAGAGCAGCAAGGACCTCCATACCTTCCCATCTTTCTCTCTACCTAGAGATGAAAATATTTAGACATTTTGAACCTGGAATTAAGGAGAAACTTCCTGACAATGAGGACAATCAACCAGTGGAACAGCTTGCCTCCAGAAATTGTGGGCGCTCCATCACTGGAGATTTTTAAGAGGAGACTGGACATTCGCCTGTCTGAGATGGTACAGGTTTATTTTATTTATTTTATTTTATTTATTAAAATTTATAGACCGCCCCACTCCCACAGGACTCCGGGCAGCTAACAATAGGTTCTCCTGCTTGAGCAGGGGGCTGGACTAGAAGACCTCCAAGATCCCTTCTATTCTATTCTATTCTATTCTATTCTATTCTATTCTATTCTATTCTATTCTACTCTACTCTACTCTACTCTACTCCGAAAGACACCTTGTCCCAGTTGGTTAAGGGATAGGGGGAATCTTTTTCTCTTATTTTTTTGCCCCCTTGTCCCTACATTCAACTCTGCCTTCATATCTGGTGAATAAACACAGCTTTCACAGCTCAACCTATTCCTTCCATGGCACCGAAATACACATGGACACGATAGGTTGACGCTGAGAAAAGTTTGATGATTTACAGAGACTCATTAATCCTCCGGGAACTTTCCCTTAGACAGAGCACCCTTGCCTGGAGAGAGTTAAGTAGGACAGGAAAACACCCCCCCTTCCCAATTCCTCTCCTATTTAACAGACTCCGAAGCTTTGTGGCTTGCGTTTCAGACTAAACCTTTCCTTGACATTTAAGACAGCTGTGCGAGGGCAAAGTTGGAGAGCGGCAAGAATACGCTGAGATTTGCGCTGGTGCTTTCTTGGCCTAACTCCAAAATAAATGTTAAGAAAATGGGCTGCAACGGGGAGGCCGGGTGACCAGAGAAGAGGGAGAGGAAAGTTAAAGGGAAAAACAGCTTGGAAGAAGGAGGGAGGGACAGGGGAAAGAAGAAAAAAAAAAAACCCCCACTCTGATGAAAAACACATAAGAGCCTCTGCTTTGAACTTGGGTGGAAATCATTTTTTATTTTTTTTAGTACTGTGTTTTAGCCTCGCAAAGCTAAGGGGGCTCTGGGTGAACGTCAAGTCAAGTTTTTAAACATTTGGGATGCTGCTAAAGTGCCAAGAACAAATAGAAGCTTCTAGCCCCATCGGGGTGAGGTCATTAAAGCAACAGCTTTCAACATCTGCTAAGAGCTGTCTCCTTCAGGTCCACTGCTGAAGAATTGCGGGACACTTTGCTCCTCTCCCCTGCTCGACTTCCCAATTCAGTCTAGTTTTGTGGGTTCCCCCATCTAAATAGGAATCAAATCCAACCTGGATTAGCTTTTCAAGATTGGATAAGGTCAGATGGAAGCTGTTACTGGCCGGGTATCAACGTCAAATCCTTGAAGGTCTATCCCTTCTAACAATGGCAACATCTAACTAAGAGTGGAGCTTTCCTTGGGGTGTCCCCACTGGGGAATATTCCCTCATCTGAGGCAGCCATGTCTTTGGGCCGTGCGCGATTAGTCTGGCCCAAAGCTTTCTTGTCTTCATGATTTTATCCCAGTCAAGAAGCCCTTCCCTTCAGAAGGGGTTGCCCAGACTTTCTTTTGGAGCAGAGATTTTAAAATCGCAAAGGGATATGTCTTGCTTTCCTAAGGTGGCTTAGAAATATTTCAGATAGATAGGCAGACAGACAGGCAGGCAGACAGACATAATGGATGAATGGACGGATAGAAAGAATGAAGGAGATGGATGGATATGATGGATGGATGGAATAGGCAAGCGACAGACTGAGAGTTATACAGGACGGATGGATTGATGGATGGCTGAATAGATATATAGAATGAACAGGTAGATGAATGGAAGGATAGGACGGATGGAATGGATAGACAGACAAATATAATGGATGGATGGATGGATGAATAGACAGAATGATTGGATAGGTGGATGGATGGATGGATGGATAAACAGGATGGATGGATGACAATAGTCATAGTTTCCCACTTTGGTTTTCCAACACAACCCTCCAACAGTACAATCCAGAGAAGACCTCACTACTGAGAAGGTGCAAGGACCTTGGAGATCACCCAGTTCAAGCCTTGACCAGTTCAAGAATATCTGATAGCAACATCCCCAACTTAGGACCATCCAGTTTCAACATCCAGCAGAAACGGAGTCATGGAGGATGGGGAAGAAGACAAACAAAGAAAAAGAAAAAAAACCAGTCGCCCTCAGTTCCAGGATAAACAACCCCCCTCCCTCTCAAGAGCAGAACCTGCCTCTCCCCCGTCCTCCCAAAGCTGACAAATTAATTGCTCCAATCCCTGGGTCACTGAATCATGCCTGAACGTCAGCCATCCTTTACCTCAGACCCTGGAGCCTGTCCCAGAACCAATCTTTAAAAGTTTATTTTACTGATCAAAGCAATAATATTATGGGGTTTTTAAAAAAAGGAAAGCAAAGGGCAGGCTAAGGAGCTGGGGGGTTGAGAGAGAGAGAGAGAGAGAGAGAGAGAAAGAGAGAGGAAAGAGAGAGAGAGAGAGAGAAGGGGGAAGAAAAAGCTTTGCGTCTGACTATATTTAGTGGAACTATTCAAGTAAGTGAGGACTTGGCAACGGCTGCAGGGAAGATTGTGAAGTTATAAGCAATGAGATGCTTATCCTGGAGAGAGGCCAGGGAGGGCTACGAAATGAGCTATTCAGAGTTGGCATTTGAGGATGGGAGAGGAGAGGAGGGAAGGGGGGTGGGTCTTTAAGCAAAAGTTGCTGCAGAACCTTTGGGTTCTGCAGGAATTCCTGGGGGAAAATGCAGAGATGTGGCGAAGCTTTATCCTCTCCACCTACTGGTATGGCTGGAATCCTCTCTGAAGGATTTGGTACTTTGTCTAGTTATCGCTGGTGCCGCCTTGACATTTCAAGGAGGCGCCCCACTGGGGGAAGAAGGACATCTCCCAAAGGTTGGGTGGGCCTCCAGTGGTGATGACCACGTTTAGACTAGATTGTTTATGGGTTCGGGGTTGAACTGTGGGGTCCTTGGTGCTCTCTGAGCTTGGTGATTTTCTTGCAGATGTTTCGTGACCCAACTAGGGTACATCATCAGTGCTAGAAGGGGGTGGGTGTTTGGAGAGGAGGAGGAGGTGGGTGTGTATGTTAAGAAGTAATTACTCCAGGAGGACAGGACCGCCGCCCCCCCCTTAAAAAAAAAAACCTGGCTTGTCTCCTAACTCTCTTTCCTCCCCATCGTTTCACAAAAACACACCTGGGTGACAAGGTTAAATCAAGCAGAGGAAAATCCCTGGCACTTATCATCCGCCGGCGTGCCTGATAAATTGTGTGGTAGGGGAATAAAGGATTACCTTCTGTATTTTTTCATTACCCTTTTCTTTTGTTACAGAATACATAAATCCATTGTGGCACAATGTAATATGTATCATCGGGCTACACCTGTGGACACTTCATAGCGGCTGCCATGTCTCTGCCGTCAGGAATGATGAGTGAAACTCCCCCCCCCCGTGAATGTTAATGATAGTGATCATTTCTCAGGTAACGTGGCTCTCCGTCTTCTTCTGCAGCCTCTACACGGAAGCCAGGGTGGCAAGGATCGGAGAGGGGAAAGGAAGGGAAGAAAAGAGAGGGGGGGAGGGGAGAGAGGGGGGGGGGAGAGAGAAGATAGATGGATGGATGGGTGGGTGGGTGGATGGATGGATAGATAGATAGATAAGGTAGAAAGGTAAGTAGGTAGGTAGAGAGATAGATGGATGGATGGATGGATAGATAAGGTAGAAAGGTAAATAGATAGGTAGGTAGGTAGATAGCTGAATGGATGGATGGATGGACGGAGAGAAAGAAAGAGAGATAGATAGGGAGGGGGTCAAATGCGTCATCACTCATGAGTCCTTTCCCGTCCACAAGGGATGTAAGTCCAGCCCTCCTTGAATTCCTTTGACTCTTATCTCCCGCCAATTTGTTTTCTCCATTAGTAGTTCAGATTCTTGTAGACAGCTTAAGCTTACAATTCATTTTTATGCTCATCTGAACTGCCTGGATTTTTGGATGTCCCTGGGGCTTGACGGGTGGCCCTGATCCTCTGTGCCTGACAACAGACGAGAAAATGAGGCACTGCGTTGAGGAGGCTGATTCAAGGACAGGGAGACCTGTTGTGGTCACAGAGCTGGAACTTTTGAAGGGATGATGACGTGCCTTTCACAATCATCCAAGCCTTTGAACTGGTCCTTCTCTTAGAAGCATCACGAAACTGCTTGGCCAAACCCCCCAGACTGGAAAACAATCCAGTAGTTGAAATTTCTGCAACTTGATCCTAAACCTCGGTGAACGAACTTCGGAAGAATCTTGCTTTCTGGGGAAGCAAGCAGACATCCCAGGGTATCCCAAGACTCATCTTGGAAAAAAAATCCTGCCTCCCCAAAGGAAGTGGGAGAGAAGTAGACTTGGCACCTGACCTCAGACAAGAATGCCACCTTTTTTTAGCCTGACGGCCTTCTCAAAAGCCATCAGCATGGGAGACTCGTGGCCTCGTTCAAAGCTGGGATGGCTGCCCTCTGCCTTCTCCTTGTGTGTAACTTTGCCAGAGTCCTTGGGAGTTGCCAAAATCGGTCACGCCTGCTTAGCTCTCTCGAGTGATGGTGCCAAAAGAGAAAATAAGACACAGATGTATTTCAGCGCCTGGCGATGCCAGACAGAGAGACAGCTAATAGCTTCATTTCGGCCCTCCCCTACCAGCTGGGCACAGGTGGGGGGGGGATAATGAGGTGTCTTTTCCTAATCAAACTCAATTATTTAACACTCTCTGTAACGGCAAAGACGTTTGGCGCTCAGTTCAAGGTATTTAAAGGCTTGGAGGTGTTCTCTTCCAACCACTGGTGGGGAGCAGAACCGAACGACGGAGGTGATGATGGAACAGTGGCCTGGGCGCAAACTTCTGAGTGCGCAAACTCTGCCTGTCTCCTTCATCTCCGCAGGGAAAGGTGCCATCCAAAATGTCTTCCGACTTCAACTATGGAAGAGTCAGTACGGCAAAGTGGACGACTAATAGCTACCTAACCTTGCAGCTGGTCCCTGAAATGACAGCTGCCTGCTAATCCAGTGCTCATTTTTTCTTCTTCTTTTCTATATGTTGCTAAGAACCGAAGAAGGCAAGAATCTTCTCGGGGGACAAACAGCCAAGAATATTTGTGGCGTTCGAAGCATGGAAGAGCTTAGTGTCGGCATAGGCATAACAAAGGTATGCCAAGATCTAAATTCTCTTTCCATGAGCAATTAAATTATCAGCATGTTCCCTCCCTAAATTAGCTGTCATATATCACCATTATCCAATTAGTGTGAAGGTCAAAGGTTTCCTTCCTCTCTCTTTCCCGGCCTTTTCCCTCTACCCTCTTCTGCTCTGCATTAACTCTAAAAATACCAGACAGTTCTGCATATTGTCAAAGCAAGAATATACAGTATTTGCAGCGTTGACACTCATATTCTTAGAGCGATCAGTTAGTTGATCAATAAATAGGAGAAAGAAGAGACTTACATTCGGACAAAAAGAGACTGCTTGGCCACCAAGCCCGGCGATGAATACTTCTCGACCAGGGCCAGCGTGCTGAAGCCGAACTTGTGAATGGGTTCGTTGCAATCCAGAGGTGGGAAATCAGTGTCAACTTCCCCATCGTCTTCAGCAATGTGGAGGCAGTAAGCGTTGACATTGTCGCTGCAAGGAAGCAGGAGAAAGAAAAGTTGGGAGGCCCACACAGGAAGAAAGAAACTCAAGTTTATGAACCATGATTTGTGATGCTGAGTTTGGTAAATGTCCACGGAGATTCTCCCTAGATGTTTACCAAATAGATACGATTTTTTTATTTTTATTTTTAAAAAGGGCTTTGAATATTGGGGAATACAAAGAGGCAAATCGTTGTTGCCCTGGGTTTTTATCCCCTTATGAACTTGATTTTTTTTACCCTCTCCCTCTTTGTTCCATTGGACGAGTCCAAGTGGAAGTTTGCACTCTCTGACTGATGCTGAAATTAATTAATAGTCAAGCGCATGTTAATTGTTTAATTGGCTGCTTGATCTATATGGATCATTTTTGGAAGCAGCATTAAATGAGTTGATTTACAAAGTTTATTGATTGGATGTGACAGTGAATTATTTTGCCGACTCCCTGATTCGCTATTTTCCCCAATTAATTCGCATAACTTGGGTTGGTAACTTTGTTCGCCAAGCGTGCGTATTCCAGGTGATTCATCCTCAAGCTGTCATTAATTATATTAGGGAGGTAATAACAAGCCCCTGAAGTGTCTCTGGCTTGTGTGTCTGTTCAACAAACAGTTAACCAGAAAGCACAGGCTCCTGGGATGCAACTAGTTCTCGACTTACAATTGTTCATTTAGTGACTGTTCCAACTTACACCGGCATTGAAAAAAAAAAGGTGGGTTATGATCGATTTTCACACAGCCAAAGGGTCCTTAATGCCTTCTGAGCTTGGTGGTTTTCTTGCAGACACTTCATTGCAGACCCTATACCAGGGGTAGGCAACCTTGGCTCTTTTATGACTCATGGACTTCAACTCCCAGAATCCCTGAGCCAGCCATGCTGAGGGAAAAGGGATAGGTTTCCAAGCTGAGCCATGCTGGCTCAGGAATTCTGGGAGTTGAAGTCCACAAGTCATAAAAGAGCCAAGGTTGCCTACCCTTGCACTAGGCCAACCATGTTTCCATGTCGTGTGACGGTTTCTCTCCGGCTAATCTCCACTTGGCTTTCCATCCTCAGAGAAGGAAGGTGCGAACTCTCGCTTGCCGAGAAGTTCTCCAATCCGATTAAAAGGCAGTCAAAATTAAGCAAACAAGAAACACGCAAGACTCAAGACTCAGTTCTTAGGCCTGAGCAGCTTAAGAAGGAGAAATGTATCCCCTCACTGTATCAGAATTTAGGGAAATGAGGTGCTGTTTCACTCCCACCTGTCAAAAAAAAAAAAAAAGCAGCTTCAACCCTCAGGGATGTGAAAATGCTACCTATGTAGTGACACCCGATGTGGAGGTGATTTGTCTTTTTTAAAAAAACAAACAAACAAGACACCCACACCTCCAAAAGGGAGTGCATCTCCAAATGATTATTCATTTATATGACACCAGCTTCATAGGCTTGTCATTACACACTACCCGGTAATTTAATTGAAAGAGAAATAGATATAGATGTACGCAGAGCTCGGAAGGGAATATTGATAAATGGGGAAGTGTTGTGGTAAGATTTATCTGGTGTGTGTGTGTGTGTGTGTGTGTATTCTTCCATTCAATCGTGTCTGATTCTTGGAGACTCTCTGGACAAGTCCTTGCAGGTTTTTGGCAAAGTTTTTTAGAAGTGATTTGCTGTTGCTGTCTGTCCGTCCGTCCATCCATCCATCCATCTTGTACCCATCCATCTTATCTATCTATCTATCTATCTATCTATCTATCTATCTATCTATCTATCTATCTATCTATCTATCTATCTATCTATCTATCTATCTATCTATCTATCGAGAGATTTTAGAGGACTCCCTGAAAGGACCTACTTCAACTTAGGTTCCCGTCCTTCGCTCGTGAACTGCCAGCAGATGAGCCCAATCAGGTCCTGCACCTTGGCGTTGGCAATTGTCACCACCGTCATGGGTTGCAACTTCTCCTGGCTGGCGTGGAATGGGAGGTAGACATCAATTATTTTTGTTGCGGTTGTGCCAATGTGGCCCTGTTGGAAGGAGAGAAGTCAAGGTAGACTTGAGTGCTTCATGTTTAGGCAAGAGAGATGCTTGCCACGCTAGGTTGAAGCAATTCATCCCTGCAACAGTCATAAATATGAGTCAATTGTCAATCATCTGAATTTTGATCATGTAACCATAGGGAGGCTACAGCGGTCATAACGAAGAGAAGGACCAGGGGTGACATGATAGCAATCTTCCAATATTTGGGGGGCTGCCCCAAAGAAGAGGGGGGGGTCAACCTCTTCTCCAAAGCACCTGAAGGCAGGACAAGAAGCAACCAATGGAAACCAGTCAAGGAGAGAAGCAACTTGGAACTAAGGAGAAACTTCCTGACAATTAGAACAATTAACCAGTGGAACGACTTGCCTCCAGAGGTTGTGGATGCTCCATCCCTGGAGGTTGGTTTTAAGAAGAGATTGGACAGCCCTTTGTCTGGAATGGCATAGGGTTTCCTGCTTGAGCAGGGGGCTGGACTAGAAGACCTCCAAGGTCCCTTCCAGCCTGCTTATTCTGTAATTCTGCTGCTTAGAAAGAAGTCAGCATGACTTTTATTCTCCCACCGACTGCCGTCTCTTCCTTGATAAGCAAATCCTACGAAGCTACCCCGTTCTCCGTCTGGGGCGCCTGGGGAATACCGTCAGAGGGTTCGGGTGGATTTATGAGTCTTATTTATATCATTCTAATGTTCGGAGACTGGAATAAAAAAAAAATTGGGCCTTCGCTGCTTTATCATCATTAATCTTTTCCCGGGGAAGATGACGAGGATGGGGAACGAAGGCTGCCTGAATTGCTGATGTGCATAAACCAAATGGATCGCAGGCGCAAAACATTTGCATTTACTTTTTTAAAACAGCAGGCACCCCACAAACACCACCCGCACCCGCTTCTCGTAGGAAGTGGGTACAAGGGGTCTGCGGGGATGGTACGGTATGCATTTGTGGTTCGCTATAATTGTGTCTGGCAAAGAGAAGCTTTCTTGCAGTCAAAAGGGGGAGCAGAACCCCACTGCATCAACTGCATTGGTCAACAGAGTAACAGAGTTGGAAGGGGGCCTCGGAGGTCATCTAATCCAACCCTCTGCTCAAGCAGGACAGCCGATACGTTTCAGACAAATGGTTGTCCAGTCTCTTCTTGAAAACCTCCAGTGATGGAGCACCCAAAACTTCTGAAGGTAGGTCGCTCCACTGGTTAATTGTTCTCCCTGTCAGGAAATTCCTCCTTAGTTCTAGATTGCTTGTCTCCTTGATTAGTCCATCCATTGCTTCTTGTCTTGCCTTCTGATGCTTTGGAGAACAGGTTGACCCCCTCTTCTCTGTGATACCCCTCAAATATTGGAAAAATCCAGTTGCCTCTTGAAAAAGCCCCTTTGGGACTACCATCACCTGGATGACTGAGAATCTCCATGGACGAAAGAAGTAGAAAAAGCGAAGGAATATCACGGTGGCTTTTCATTGCTTGAGCACGACTAGAAGACCTCCAAGGTCCCTTCCAGCTCTATTCTCAGTCAGTCTGAGTTAGCCTTTGATCTCCGAAGGGCTTGTCTTTATAGGATGGCTATAAAAACTGGTAACTTTTTAAAAAAAAGATCTGCCCCTTCCCTCTCTGACTTTGTAATTCCTAGTTTGATGTCGAACCTGGACTGATTTTATTCCCAAAAAAGGATGAAAGATCAAGTCTTAGGACTCTTGGTTGAGCCAATGGACCAGATCCAGTACTCCACGTTGAACTGAATTGAATTGAATACTTTATTTGGCTAAGTGTTGATTATATACATTAAGGAAATTCGCGTCCGGCGCCAATTCGATTATCAACCCCGAAGATTATTTACACAATTCAGTCCTTTGGAACAGAAAGACGCCCAAAAATAGCAGATAGGAAAGTTGCCGAATCCCAGTGGTTTAATATTCCTCTTTCATCTTTTTTATCTCAATTACTTCCGGTTGAGAAACCCAAACTGCAGCAAACCAATCTAATCTTTAAAACATGTGGTTTTTTTTTTTACGCCCCCAATAAACCCAGGACCACTAAGCTGACCTTTGGTAGCACGCTGGGACCACGCTCCAAAAGACAGACAAAGCCGGGACAAAGAGACGGAAACTAAATTCACTTCCCATTTAATTGAATTGAAAGTTTAATGAACATTAAAATGAATTAATCAAGCTCCTGCTGGACAACTGCGCCCCGTGCATTTCAATAATTCTCTTTTGCTGGGATATTAAAAGTGACAGTTCAGAGATAACCTCTGAAGGGGTCCAAAGCTTTCAGAGAGATATCTGGGAATCTTGGATTTCAACCTGAGCATCCCGATTTATCATCCAGCCGCCCCTGTTTCCATTTGCAGCACCAAAATCCATTTGAAACCCAGCCTTCAATGAAAACCTCCTTTTAATTCTCAGCACAAACCCAAATACAGTATACACACTTCCTTACTTGCTGGAGGGGAAAAAATATGATTAATTTGTTAATAATCATGATTTACCACATCTTCCTTTACAATGGAGTTCAGTGACTTAATGTTATAACGCTTTAAGATTAGATGGCCTAATGATATATAATGCGAAAGATTTTTACCGAATCGTTATTTAGTGAGTCATAAAACCCTCTTAAAAATTAATCTTTCACGCACATCCAGCTTATCCAAAGTTAGCATTTAATTAGATGGCCTTGGCGCAAGCGAGCCTACTGCTTTATTTGCTCAATCAGGATATGCCTCTCCAGTAATTAGAATTAATTCAAGCCATTGACTCACACTTCCTAACAAACAGTATAAAACATTAGGAAAAACAGAAATAAATGGAGGGGCGGGTTTTTTTTTTACTCCTCTCCTTTCCCAAATTTTCTCCACAAAACAAAACAACACACCTTTACTTTTAGAAGACACAAACAATGTCTTTCTCTTTAAAAGGAAGAAGCATGCATTTCATGCATGTATTTTTTTTTTTTTAATGATAGACAAGAATATTGAAGTCAGGGTTGAAATGAGGGGTCCTTGGTGATCTCTGAGCTTGGTGATTTTCTTGCAGACGTTTCATGACCTAACTAGGTAACATCATCAATGCCAATTGCTCCCTATTTAAATATAGTAGTTTTGAGCTGGGCTGTTTTCTTGCAAACATTTTATTGTCTAACTAGATAATGCCATAGTATACATTGATATTGGCTCCTCAGAAATCTGAATGGGACCAAAATAAAAAACAGAATGAAATTCTATGTTGGTTTTCAATTACTTTAAAAGATGGAAGTCAGCCAATTTTTCAAGTAGCAGGTATATAATAAATACAGACAATGCCCCCCCCCAATTATTTTTATACATTTTATATATTTAACAAAGTGGGTTTTTTTCTTCAAACAGACACATTTCAACTCTTATAGATTTTAGAGTTTAATTTGAAAGATTATTTTCCCAAAGTACAAGTCAAAGGATTACGGTTCTGCTTTCTCATGAAGGAACGATGACCAACAGACTCAGTTTATAATGCAAAAGATTTAGGGTGATGAATAAGGGTCAAGAATAAGCTTGAAATGCCGGGATGTTGAGTCTTTTCCAAACACCCAGCCTGGAAACTACGATTACGATGCAGAATACAACTGGATCCACATATTGCACTAAGCCATCATGGGTTTTATCTGACTTGGTTTGACTAGGATGAGTAGATCAAACAGAAGACAGCTGAATCGCTTTTGTTTTTCACCAAGAACCCAGCCAGTAAAATCCCATTAAATGTTCTCACTTAATTTATCTCGTTTGGGCTGTCACCGATCCTAAAATTTTAACCCAGTAATTTCCTGTGACGCAAAGCGTAACGGAGTATGAATATTTAAATGCTGTGTAAATAAAGACCACTCTCCCCTCCTGTGCATTTAATTTTAGTATTCCACAATGGTGCCTTTCCTTAGCAACATCCCCTCCGCCTTCTCTACAGGGTTTGTCAATTACAGGCCAGATGTTCTAAGGTGTCGGCAGGCGAAGCTACCCCCTTTGAGGAATATGTCCCTGGAATTGCAATGAAGGTTCTGCACCAGCTTCAGGAGTCATTAACACACTCCCGTTTTTATTTTGAAATTCCCCCTCCGGCCTCTTTGCACTTCCAGACTCTTCCTCCCAATATCCCTGCGAATTATTATAACGCATAAAGCAACGGGAATGTCTGTAGCCCTGGGCTGAATGGTGGGTGATCTCTGAGCTTGGTGGTTTTCTTGCAGATGTTTTGTTACCCAACTAGGTAACATCATCCGCGCTGGAAGGGGCTGAGGACATATTATATGTAACAGGGAGCTAACACCACACACAGCAGCACTGATGATGTTACCTGGTTGGATCATGAAACATCTCCAGGAAAACCGCCAAGCTCAGAGAGCACCAAGGACCCCACAGTTCTCTTCCTCCTCCTCTCCACACACCCCACTCCCTTCTAGCACTGATGATGTTACCTAGTTGGGTCATGAAACATCTCCAGGAAAACCAGCAAGCTCAGAGACCACCAAGGACCCCTCTTTTCAACCCTGAGCTATAAACATTTTCTATCGATAATTAGGATATTCCTAGCAGAAAATGTCCCTTTGGAACAGGCAAGTCTGCGGTGTATAGGGCGTGCTGGCCTAGGGTTCCCTTCTGACATGGGACTAAAGTTGTGGATTGGAACTGCAGTTCCATGAGGAACATGTTTGAGAGCATCTCCAAGGTGGTTTAATGGTCAAGAGAGATAACCTGTCTTCTGTGATCAATAAATCCGCTTTCCCCAGTTTGATGCTCAGAGCTCAACTGAGATGGTGAACATGGCAAACAGAGAGAAAGGGCCCTCCAGTTTGGATGATTTATTCCTATTTCACTTTCCCCTCATCAAAATGTGTTAATTTCATTAGAAAAGATAACAAACCCAGCCGTAAAATGCAGCCACAAATGGTCTCTTAATAAATACACATTTAAAGGTACCATAAACACAGAATGTGTTTTCTTAGAAGTCTGCCACCGGATCCTGTAATGAAC